TAACAGCATGGCTTTATTTCTTATATTTCGTCTTTATACTTTTCTACTGGATGGTTAAGACCAAGGTATAGCAGGACCTATGCAACAAGAGTTGTAGCTTTTTGGTCTGAGAAAGTCAGCGGATGTTTGTTTTTATATTAACCATTAGGATCCATAATATGAGTGGAGAGGGCTTGTCAGTTGATAAGCAAACTCCTTTACAAACTAATTTGCCTATGTAAATTTTTTTTTTTGGTGGTACCAGGGATTGAACTAAGGAACTTGCACTTGCCAGGCAAGCACTTGTTCCACCGAGCTATCTCCCTGACCCCCTAAAGTGCTGATTTCTGAGAGAAATAGATGAGTAAATTAAGCAAATTTATTTTAAAAATGTTTATTAAGTGACCTCTGTGCTGGAGGTGATAGACAGTTATAATGGTGACAGACAGGCTTCTAGCTCTGTGATGTTTATAAACTGGTGGCTGAGATTGATCTTAAGCTTATAGAAACAAAACTAGATAATCTAATTGAAATCCAATTGGATTAAAGAAGTTGAGTGTAAAATACAGTTCTTCAACATTTTGCTTTTAGGAACCCTTTAAAAGTTTAAATCATCAAAGATATCAAGTGTAGATTGCATCTATTGTTGTTTAATGGATTATAAATTAAAATTAGCATGGTAATTTAACAAAATAATGTCAGTGAGGGTTTACAGAAATAACCGTCTTTAAAATGAGAAATGAGATATTTTCCAATACAACAATAAAAGTGGGAAAAATGATGTTTTTTTTTTTTTTTTTTTACAAAATGTAAAAATGCCTTTCACTTCTATAAAAATAATTAAATCTCCTTTTAATGTTTGGCTAAATAGAACACTGCTGTGTTTTCATATCTGCTTCTGTATTAAATTGTCAACTTTTTTTGACATATAGGAAGAAAAATTAATTTCATTTAAAACAAGACAATAGGAAGGTAACAATGGTTGATACATATTATCTCTTTTTTATTTAAAAAGAGAGTGGACTAGTTTACTCACCTTTTCTGATAATTGTGGATATGTTCCTTGATACTGTAGCAGAACTCACTAAGTGATATCTTAAAAGTTAGTTTCAATGTAAAAGCTGAAGTTATAGCAATGAAATTTTATACTTAATATTTACTTACAGTATAAATGGATCTTTTACTCATGATTTTATAACAAACATGGAGCATTTAGAAAATACACATTGAATTATGCAAATCATTCAAATAAATGATGACATTCTGTTATACAGTTATCAAGCTATGTTTGTTGGTATCAGCATTAGTTTTAAGCTTACAAGGATAGAAATCTTTTTTTTTTTTCAAAATTTTATTGATAAACAGCAATGAGACAGTTTCAAATCAAATCGGAAGTACAGTTTCAACAAATAACACACTGCATATATTCTTCTTGGTGGTTAATTGCTGTACAAGATGCAGACTTGTGATCCTATTTACAAACACCATTAGAACAAATCATTCTGTTCATTAAGTGAATGCATCCATATATCTAAAGGATAGAAATCTTAAAGAACTTTGTTTTCACTTGACATCAACAGTTTCATCATTGGCAACAAATATATCAAATTTTTTTGAAGTGGGAGGTTCATTTTGTTCATTTTTGATAAAATTTCTACCAAATACCCAAATTTGAATAATAAGTTTTCTAGTTATTTTTGGAAAATGGAGTCCTATGAAAAAAGTGTCTAGGGTCCGGGGAGATGGCTCAGTGGAATAAGCGCTTCCCTGGCAAGCGCAAAGGCCTGAGTTCAATCCCCAGTTCTGAAAAAAAAAAAAAAAAAAAAAAAGTGTCTAGTTCAGTTCATATCTCATAATCACAGAGGTGATTTTTTGCGAGGCATACCTGCAAGTGCAGCAGAAATGCTTCATGCATGTATCACCACAGATTGTATGCATTTTTGTCATATAGAATATTAAACTGCATTGTCCAGGCTCAATATTTTTAATGAAATTAATTAAAGTTGGCCTAAAAATAAAACACTGTGATTAAAGAAAAAAAGTAAAACAACTAAATACATCTTGGTTTTATTATCTTGATCATTTTTCTAATATAACAATAGTCCCACCCCCCCCACCCCCCGAACCAGGGATTGAACTCAGGCCCTTGTGCTTGCCAAGTAAGCCATTCTTCTACTGAGCTATCTATTTCCCCGGCCCTATACCAACAGTTTTACCCATCCTCCTTTTCGCACCCTATGTGCAAATACCAATATAGTATAAGAAAAGAGATAATTTTCTTATGGAAGTTGTTTTAACTTTCTACACTACAGAATACTAGCAATAACAGTACCCAGGAGTAACAGTTCCTGCTTTGACAACTGCTGTGATAGACCTTAAGAGGGTGATTTGATTTAAATTATGGGAAACATTGAGGAAAACTTCTCTGAGAAACTGACTTTTAAGCCAAGCTAGCTAAATGTAGGCAACTGTACCATGTGCAAAGTAGGCATGTTTGTTAATGTCATCAAGAAACTGTAGGAAACCACTGTATAAAGGTTCATAATGGGGTGGAGTGGGAAGAGTAACACAAGAAGGTACCCATTCATGTGAAACTTTAAAAACTTATTTTATACATTTTAGATTTTATCTTATGACCAAGAAAAACTATGAAAGGCTTTAAAGAATGAAGGTGAAATGTAGTGACTTATTTTCAAAAAGATCACTTGACTGTTTAAGAAATTTTAAAATGAAACATTTAAGTTCTATATTGCTTAGTGTAAAATCTTTTCTTGAGTACTATTAAAACTAATGAAAAACCAAAAATTCAAGATTTATAATTACTCAGAATTCAGAAACTTGATTTTAATTCATATTTTTCAGAAGAGTTTACAGGAGAGAAAAAGAGAGCAACAAGAATCTTCTTTGGGGCCATATGGCATTTTACTGCAACGTAGTAACTATGTTCCAGTGGTTGGAATTAACATTAAGTGCACAACATAGGGCAGCTTATCTGTCAGGCATATAGATTCTACTGATCATAGTAGTTGCACACATGTGAATTCTTCAGCTTTTATATGTAAACTACATTTATTTCTAGGACAGTGATTGTGATCCCTCCCTATTATTTCACACCAGAGGCTCTTTTACTTTACATATATAGTAACAGTTATATGATAATATTAAGAAGTATTCCTGTAAAGACAAAGCGTACTGTAATTAGAGGGAAAATGGCATTGCTTCTAGTGCCTGTAGTACTCATACTCCTGTGGCCTTGGTGTTTATGGCTCTAACAATTTAGTAAAAAACAAAATTATATGAATAATTTTCTTTTGTTAGCATTTAGTTAAGTAAGAGACCTAACTTGAGATCATCAGTGGGTTAGTATGTCCCCCTTTTTCCTTTTTGGTGTTATCTGACTGTTTTGGGGTACTCAGATATCACTCTGGGGGGTGGTGGCAGTACTAAGATCTG